GGATAAAAGTGCAACAGTGTGCAAGCATTGTGCAACACGTTTTGTTTATGCTAGCAGCAACATGACCAACATGTCAGGCTAACAATCAACATACTGAACCGAAAACCGTGACCACGAAACCATGAACCGAACCGCACCGTGGGGGGGTGGGGATGGGCTGCTCTGAATGCATCTTTGATGTCAGAGTAAATCAGGTCTAATGTGTTTTTTAAGAAATCTAAAAATAAGTAAAAAATGTCTTAAATTAAGTGTATTTACCTTTAATTTGAGCAGGTAAATGAGATAGTTTGCTAATCGAATCAGTAATTTTACTCTTAAAATAAGATAATTAGATAATATGCACTTGATATAAGACAATGCAATAGTTTTTTACTTATTTTAAATCTAAATACTGTCGTTCCATTGGCAAACTGTCTCACCTGCGTCTTCAATTCAAGAAAAAATGCACTTTCTTTAAGAAAAAACTGACTTATTGAGATTAAATATTTTTGCAGTGTATTTGTGTAAATAAATCCTTTCATGCCTGATTGAAGGTGTTATCCCCCCCCACCCCCTGGTCTTACAGACACGCTGTACGTGGCCATGTGTAACCCCGTGTCCCTGTACTCCATGACGGAGCGCGGGGAGAGCATCCGCTGCATGGAGCTCTACGACGTCTTCCCCAGGACCATCAGCGGCGTCTGGCAGCCCTTCGTCACCGTGGCCCCCCTGGGGAGCCCGCTGGACGGACAGGTGGTGCTACACGAGGAGCAGGTACTGTCACGCTCCAGAGGAGCGGCGAATAAGAAGTGGTGAAGTGTTATTTTTGTCTAAACAGGAATGTGTTTCAGCAGTTTGGGAGCAGACCACATGTTCCTCTGTGTCCATTTAAAGAGACGGAGCCACTCTGGGATTTCTCAGCAGCTCCCCCGCTTGGCTCGTTCACACTGTGGAAAGTCAAACTTGACCTTCCACAGTCAGCAGTGTGGCGTTTTCTTCCCGCTATGGTCAAACTGATTCTAACCGCTGTCATCAGGCAGCGAGGGAAGAGAAAGGGGTGAAATTCCCAAAGGGAGGCGATGGTCGCCGCCGCTGTTTCAGCCCCACACAGAGGAACGCCTGCGTTCAGGCTGTTTCCAATAAGACGGCTTTAGAATCACTGAACAGGGTCTGGTTTTTATAGAAAGCTCCTAACAAAGCGCTTTTTTAAGCCTCCTGAATCAGCATGTGAATTTTTCTGAATACATTTTCTACCAAATATTGTTGTTCTTTATTTTGAATCCACGCCATTTGAACCACCCTAACCATCTGTAACCCCGTCCTTCCCAGACCTTTCCAGCAGGGATCTCCTTTACTAAAATGAACCTCTGTTAGGATATTGGAATGCATTTATTATCTCTATTCTA